TTGGGTGCATTCGAAATCGTATCAGCACACCAACAATTGAGGTTAACCAATTAGGGCCCATTAGCAGGTTTTTGTTTAGAGAGGTGTCATTGCTCTCTGCTGCTGCATCAAAGAGAAGCCTCAGCACCACTTATGTTGGCTTCTATAGTTTCGGCCGTATTCTCATACCTGAGCACTCCGCCTGTCCAGCCGAAGCAAAATGGTTCGGCCTTTCCTTTTATGCCAACATCACGGGCTATTTGCATGTCTGATAGTATAGCAGTACTGCCGCCGTCCATGGACCATTGGACCATGTATTATTACCGGTATCATTTTCAGATGTATATTGTCCTGGACCTCCTGCACACAACCACTAAAACCCATTGCGGAAAGTGTTGGTTGGGTTTTGGGTGTTTTATGCAGCTTAGGATGATGGTATTTTTCACAATTGTTTATTTTGCATTGCTCACGCTTTGAGCATTGCCCTTTGTGTTGTTCCAGGGAGCAAAAACATGCATCATACTTTTTGGCGCAGTCCCACCTTTTCTTTACATCTAGTTTCAGGATGTAGTTGCATTTTTCCAACGGATGTCGCTCTTCGTTGAAAACTGGACATTTTGAAAATCCTCGACCTGCTGCCTTTGTTGCTTCTTTTGACATTGTACATAATTTTGCCTTATTTCAGTTTGCACCACGTTGTTTATTGTAATCATTCTCTTATAGAATGCTATGTCATGAACCAATGTGCACTGTTGTTTTGTCCACTCAGCAAATAATTCGCATTCGGACATATAATAAATGCAATAGGTGTGTAGATAATCAATAATTCAAATTAACTAAAAAACTGCTAAATTCATTTTAGCAAAATATACAAATTTTCTGCGATAAACACATAAACTCCCTAAAATATACACCGCGACAAATACTGCAATTAAACACACTACTCAAAACAATATCTCAGGTTTTACTTATTCAATGAGGGGAGGAAATCCATCATTTATCCGACCGGAACCACCAGCTGCTCCTTTCTGCGCTTTACAAACTTTGCCTACCCAAATTATTTATGTACTACTTATTCCACAAAAAACATTTTATAAATCAAGAAAACAAAGAAACCAAACTAAACCAACCACCACCAGGAAACACGCCGGAAGCGAGCAGCTTCGTCCAACCGTCGCGACTTACGCATTCTGGAGGTGCTCCCATCGGAATTGCTCTTCCCATTTTGGGCGCAATATTGTTACGACCTTGCTTTTTCCCTTTGGGCAACGCCGGCTAGCTCATCGATACTCTATCAGGATTGAGTCCATCCCAATGCCCGCGTAAGCCGTACAATGACCGATTGCTCGGTTGCAACAAAGCCGATGCAGTATGTGGCTACCAACTATGGAGCTACGGCCTCTTTATTTTGGCCCGGTCAGTGAGTTCATCCCCCCTCACTATTGTGTTTAGCATGAACGCGGCATGTTTGGATTTTAGATTACGTTATAATATGCGTTTAATGTTGTGAACCTATGTATATGTATGTGGATCTATGTATAAGTTCGAATTAACATGTACTAATTATGATGGTCAGCGCACGCGGGACCCACAGTTTCCGCACAAAACCTTCGAGCTGATCTTCTAGCCGATTGAATGATGCCTTCTTGTAGATCACTCCATTCTAATTTTCAAGTCAGGTAATTTATCTTTTTGATTTTAAATTTTGCTTATCAGCAACAGGTCTCCTGGGGAGAATTCCAACCCCTTAAACGCTTCGGTTTCCGTGCTTTTGGAAAACATATCCGCCACGACGTTGGCGGAGCCTTCCCGGTGCGTAATTTCAAAGTCAAAGCATTGGAGCAACAACGACCAACGCGCCAACCGCCCGGACAAATCTTTCATCGACATTAGCCACTTCAAGCTGGCGTGATCGGTTATTACCCTGAACGGCATCATTTCGATGTATGGCCTGAACTTCTATATCGCCAATACTGCCGCCAAGCACTCCTTCTCGGTCACCGATTAGTTTACCTGGTGCTTGTTCATCTAAGCCGAGAAGAACGCAATTGGTCTCTCCTTTCTCTCCAAATCCACTTAAAATAATACGGCTCCGACGCCAATATGGGATGCGTCACACTAAACAAAAAATGGGCGTGAAAAATCCGCATGTACCAGCACTGGCGCAAAAGTGAGCGCCATCTGTACCATCTGGCGGCTCCTACGAAAACTCGAACCTCCTTTATAGACTTGGGTATTTGTATGCACTGTATTGCACTTACCCACGCTGGATCTGTTCAGAGCGCGCCGCCGCCCACGATGAATCTCAGGTACTTCAATGTTTTGAAACAAAATTTCGATTTCTGTAACCCTATAGTGAGATTTGCATTTTTCAGGCATTCGGCGACTTTACGCAAGTACTCTAAGTGGATGTCAAAATCCGCAGCGAAGACAACCAAGTCGTCCAAGTACACCTTTACTTTGGACCTCATCTCGTTGGGTATAACTTTATCCATCAGTCGGCATAATCTTTGAGCGGCATTACACAATCCGAAAGGCATCATGCGGAACTGGTACAAAAGCCGTCCTGGTACCGTAAACGCCGTGCACATCCGACTTGGCTCTTTCATTTGCACTTGCAAAATGCAAATGCAAATTTGCACAGCGTACACACATGTGCCTCTAGCTCCTATAGTCTCTGAGATCTAGGTTTTCATACGGACGGACAGACAGACAGACAGACAGACAGGACTAGCGCTGCGCCTGTGTGACCGCAGTTGGCACCCCGGCCCCGCGCGGTACCGCTAGGTGGCTCTACTGCACCAATTTGAAATTTAGGCGCCTCCCGTAGTGCTGCCACTTTGCTTTCTTTTCTTGTAACCGGCCCGATGCAACAATAATGTCATTAAATTAATCGCAAATGCCAATATTATTTTTTAAAAGAAGCATTGCCCGTAATGTGTCCATTTTTAGTGACGTTTGTTTACAAAGCAACAAGCAGATTAGCCAAAGTCGGGTGTCCCGACTTTGAAATATTCCGTCGATATGTTTAGGATAATTATAGAAATTAAAAAATGAAAATTTAAAAAAAATTCCAAAAGACACATTTTCTGGGTGTTCTCTAGCTCTTATAGTCTCTAAGACCTATGCGATTATACGGACTGACAGACAGATAGGGCTAGATCGACTCGTCTTGTCATGCTTATCAAGAATATACACGTAATTCTGTTTTTACACGGTCTTTTTATACACGATTTTAATATAACACGGTTTGAAAAAAAAAATTGCATATACTTGTATGTATAATTTTTTTTTTTTAATTAAGGACCAATCACCTATTTTTGCATATGATAAATGTCTTTTTTACACGGTAGATTGGTTCCTAAAAAGTCGTGTAATATAAAAACTTTGTAAAAAAAATATATTGATCAAATGCAAAATGAATCGTGCTTAATGAAATAAAGTCGTGTAACAATATATAACATTTTTAATTTTAAAACCGTGTAAAGAAAGACCGTGAAAAACAAAATTAGGTGTATGTACATATACATACATATATGTACTTAGTGGAGTCTGCCACGCCTCCTTCTGACTGTTACATTTTCAGCTCGTGCAAACCTAATATACTCTTGTTCATTTCATGTACAGAGTATAATTATTAATGAAATAACAAACAATTGCAATTTTGCAATGATATTCCTTTTTCTTTTACATTTTTGAATACCTCAATTCGTCGCTTTTTTGTTCAACAGGAGAGCTTTTCGGGCTTATCGGTAGACAAAAACAAGGATTTTCTCTCTCTTACTGTATGTATTTTAAATGTCATGTTGGGAATGCGGGACACACAGGACGCGTTTGAGGTTTTCCGGGACTATTTTATTCGATTTTTCAAGGCGGGACAACTTCTGTCAATGCGGGACTGTCCCGCACAATGCAGAACGGTTGGCCGCATTATTATAGAAATTATTCTAATATTATTACTAAAATATCATACATTTTTTACGATAGAAACCAACGTGGCTTACGCCGGTTTGAACTCAGATCATGTAAGAATTTAAAAGTCGAACAGACTTAAAATTTGAAGGGCTACACCCAAAATTATATCTTAATCCAACATCGAGGTCGCAATCTTTTTTATCGATATGAACTCTCCAAAAAAATTACTTAAGTCTTCATATGGACAGTTACACAAGCAAAAAGGAGAAATTAGAATTAGGAATTGATTTTGCTAAATATTGCTGAAGTCTTTTTATACCATGTCCAAAAATACCTTTAGAGCAATTTAAAATCAGTTCGTATGGTAAATATGGGGGCGTGGCTCACGATTATAGCTGGCAGCATTTGTTTTGTACACTGCGCCAACTTTTACAACACTGAATTTGTTTCGATAACATCACGACATATTGCTAAGTGCTGTAGATGTACACCACACTAGAGCTGTAAAAACATCGATGTTTTCGATATTTTAAAACGAAAACATCGATACTATCGATACTTTGAAATACAATATATATATTTTTTTTTTCAAAAATAACTTTACGATGATGCGTTTTTAAAATCTCCTACTTCTGTTAAAATTTAGCCAGCTTTGTTAAAAGTGGCACATAATTTGGATGGCACGGCCATGATCTGCCTGACTATAGAATTAAATGAATCATCACTGCTCGCCAAAAAAAAATATGGCACCTTTTCTTTCCCTCTTGGGGCTATCAATGTTTTTTCGTTCCTTCTCACACAGTTGTTCCTCGATGCAACTATAAAACGGGAAACATTTATAGAAGCTTCAATGAATAGCAGACAACCATTACCTTAATTAGGCAGCACGTGTTCATTTCTTAAATACATACATATATACATACATTAATAAAAAACATATTCAAATCCAATTTATTAATAAAAAATCTGGGATTAGAATATTTCATCCTGCTTCTTCGCTTTCGAATTTTAAAAAAGTACCCGATTATCAATTTTGGCAACTAAAACATTTTTTCGATATTGCCCAAACATCGATATATCGATGTTGATATCGATATTTTTTCCAGCTCTACACCACACAAGTGTATGTGCTATATCTCAACAAGTTGCGGCAAAAAAATAAATATGTCTTATCAATTATACCGCAACACAACTTTGGGAAATACTTTGCAGGAGAGCCTTGACGAACTTATACAGGTAAGCTTAAATTAAAAACAAGTCAGTATTTCCTAATTGCATACCGCTATCACAAGGACAAGTAAAGATACCTACTTCCCATTTTCCCTTATGCTAAGTACATATGTATGTATGTATAAATGTTACTTTATTTTACAGTATGGACAGATTACGCCGGCCCTTGCTTTCAAGGTGCTTCTACAATTTGATAAGAGTATCAATACAGCACTTAACCAGCGAGTAAAAGCCCGAGTCACCTTTAAGGCTGGAAAACTAAACACTTACCGATTTTGCGATAATGTGTGGACGTTAATGTTAAACGACGTGGAGTTTCGCGAGGTTCATGAATTTGTAAAGGTTGACAAAGTGAAAATCGTAGCTTGCGACGGAAAGAGTGGGGAATTCAATGGCTAACTTCAATACAAACCCATTAGCTTGTCCTTCGTAAACGCCCTATTCACGCATTTTCCAATTAAGGTATACATATAATTAAATGCAAATGTTTGCATATTTAAGATTTAAGTACATACACATATTGTTTTGATCCATTGGTGTTTCGGACCTACTCAAATAAGAACTTCTAAATAATAATTGTAATTGATATAAATTGAATTCAAAATCAGAATATGCCATGTCTTTTTAACACGCTTATATTAGCTTCACCTGTATGTATGTAACGGAATCTTTCAGCGTAATTTTTTACCAATTTCCTGAAGTCTGATCAGCTTGAAAATTTGCACAGGGGTCACGGACTGATGACAATACAATTACAATGTCCGTCAAACTGTCCACACTTTCAAAGCAACGTGAACTTGCTATATAGACTCTCCTAATATGTAGGCAACACGAGTTAATGTTATTATACTCTGAAATATACATGAAATGTACAAGAGCATATTAGGTTTGCGGGAGCTGAAAAATGTAACAGGCAGAAGGAGGCGTGGCAGATCCCACAAAGTATATATATTCTTGATCAGCGTGACAAGACGAGTCGATCTAGCCCTGTCTGTCCGTCCGTATGAACACCTGGATCTCAGAGACTATAAGAGATAGAGACACCAAATTTGCACAAAGATGCCTTATGTGTGTACGCTATAAGAGTTTGTTTTATTTTTTGGATTTTCCCCCGAATGGGGGTTTTCCCGATTTTCCATTCGTATAATCGCCTATATCTCGGAGACTATAAGACCTAGGAAACCAAATTTCAGTCCAAGATGCCTTATGCGAATACGCAGAAAATGTGTATTTTGGAATTTCCCTCCCTCTCCCCCCAAAAACATAACTCCCGTAATTTATGGAATTTCGAACTAAAATTTTGCAAATGCCCCCAGTTAGCGGTTATGTGTCCGTTTGTCAAGTTTCACTATGATAGACCGATTTAACAAGAAGTTATAGCCATAAATATATTTGTTGCCTGCGCTGCCCGCAGCTGTTGATGTTGCTGTTTGGTGGACTGCAAACATGTTTACACACACACGAATAGACGCGCATAGGCATTCATACACTCACATTTGCAATTGTACACCCTTTACGTTAGTTCGAATACCGAGGGAGGTTAAATCGATCCAACAATTTTTTTTAAATCTCTTAATTTTTTAAATTTCTATAATTATTCAAAACATATGTACAGAGTATTTCAAAGTCGGGACACCCGACTTTAGCTTTTCTACTTGATTTTTCAATTTCCTGCCTCCGCTACAGAATTACGTCAATCATGTCCACATTTCAAAAGCTACGTGAATTAAACTTTGCACACGTAATCTACATCTAAATATCTAATTTTGTGTTATATAATATAATAAATTCATATCTTTTTATACCCTGTACCCAAAGGGTGAAAGGGTATACTAGTTTTGTGCGAATGTATGTAACAGGGAGAAGGAGGCGTGGCAGACCCCACAAAGTATATATATTCTTGGTCAAGATGAGAAGACGAGTCGATATAACCATGTCCGTCTGTATGAACGCAAGGATCTCAGAAAGTATAAGAGTTAGAATAACCAAACTTGGTATCCGCATTCTCCGAAGTGCAAGAAAGGACAAGTTTGTTAATTTTTTCCGATGCACCCCCGACTCCCCCGCAATTCGTGTTTTTCCATAACTCCCGTAATTCTTGGTAATTTCATATAGTTAGTGATTATGTGTCCGTATGCTAAGTTTCATCATGATTGGTCAATTCTGAAGAAAGTTATAGCCATAAATAAAATCGCTGCCCATGCTCTGCCCGCAGCTGTTGTTGTTGCTGTTTTGGCTAAGGCGGCCAACCGTCCCGCATTGACAGGCGTTGTCCCGCATTGAAAAATCGAATAAAATAGTCCCGAAAAACCTGAAACGCGTCCCGCATGTCCCGCATTACCAACATGACATTTAAAATACATAATATAATAGAGTAAGAGATAGAAAACCATTGTTCTTGTGTACTGCATCTCCTCCTGCTCTCCTGTTTGACAAAACAGTGGTGAATTGAGGTGCTTAATAATCTAAGAGAAAAAGGAATACCAATGCAAAATTGCCTATCCAGTACCTTCTCTGTTTTTATTTTCATTGATAATTGCTTTGTGGACAAAAGTCACTAAAAGTGGACACATTTCTTTTAAAATATAATATTGGCAGTTGCGGACAATTTAATGACATTATAAATAACAAGAGATAACACTAAGCAAGCCCGACAGTGAAATACCCTGTACCCAGACTAACATTCCGGCAAAAAATGTTTCGGTAACTTAGAATTGACCGATTTTCATAAAAATTGAAAAAAAAAATTTATATATATTTATGTATATATAAATTATCTTTGCAAATATGGTTTATGTTGCTTATTTGGTTAATGTGCGCTCAACCGTTTTCAGACGGACGGACATACTTTGATCGATTTCTCTCGTCGTGCTGATAAAGAATATATACACCATATGGGTTCGGAGATGCTTCCTGCGCAAACCTAATATATACTTTTTACCTTACGGGTACAGGGTAAAAAAAGTTTCACTCGTGTGAAAAGTATGATTTTAAAAATAAAGAAACATAAACAAATTGAATAATTATTTTAAGTGTTTAATATGTAACTGTATATATGACACATCGAAAAAAACACCACCTTAAATTGTCCCGCATTGGCTTTTGAAAAAGTTGGCCGTCTTAGTTTTGGCTCAACTTTGTGCTGCATACATACACGCAGAGACACGATTCTGAAGTATATTTATTCTATGTATGTGTCGGATGTGTATCATTTTGTTCCATGTTTATTATATTTCACAATATGTATCAGCACAGCAAGTTCTGCTCGTCTCTAGCGCATACCAGACTGACTTCAGAAAGCACTCTAACGTAGTTTCGCAATTTGCGAATCTATCGTCTTCCCTGTCTCTCTTCTACAGTCTGCGCTCTACGATCAAACCTTACTCAGCAGCAGAGTCTCTCTCTTTTATCCTGCTACCATGCCCTACACGCATTCGTAAAAACCCCGTTACTTAGGTTGCGTCTATGTCTCGCCATCAAAAATGCACACACATGTACAGTGGTCTGCAACTAGCAAAAACTGATTCTACGACATAAGTATATTATATTCAATTAAATTTTAAAAAAAATTTAATTTTCCTTTTTTGTGGACAGTACAGGGTATTTTACTCTTGTACTCGACTGTGGCGTTCTATCTTGTTTTATATAGCTATCCTACACAATCTTTCGCGGATTACCTGGAAAAGGTTCTATATCTTTTGGGGACATTCATGTAAGGGTTTTAATCGGGACTCATACTAATTTTTGAGCTACCTCCTAGAATTTTGCATTTTGCATTAACTTCTGTGTGGTTGTGAATGTGATGCGATTTTAAAATTTAAAACGGTATACCTAATTTTGTGAGTGCTTAGTATTGGTTACTAATTATAAAGTGCATATTTTGGAAATACATATATGGATATATATTTTTTGTGCTTTTGGTCACTTACAAAAAGCGAGTTTGCCTCTTAATTTATATAAATTATATATATATTTCTCTTAATACAGTCTTTATTAAGACTCTTATTTTGTATTCCAAATTTTTTTTGTTTCCCAAATTCGGCCTTAAGCATAAATAGTCCTGTATGTATGTAACGGAATCTTTGAATTTAGATTTATTGTCAAACATAAGACAAGGCTCTTTATTTATATAATTACTTTTAATATCTTTTTAAAACTAAAAATTAAGAAAATAAATTATAGTTTAAACAAGTAAAAAAACTAAAGTCGGGTGTCCCGACTTTGAAAAACTCTGTACATATGTTTACAATAATCATAGAAAATAAAACAAGTAAAAAAGCTAAAGTCGGGTGTCCCGACTTTGAAATACTCTGTACATATGTTTACAATAATTATAGAAAAAAACAAGTAAAAAAGCTAAAGTCGGGTGTCCCGACTTTGAAATACTCTGTACATATGTTTACAATAATTATAGAAAATAAAAAAATTAAGAAAATAAAAAAAAATGTGATCGATTTTACCTCTCTCGGTATTCGAACTCACGTAAAGGGTTTATAATTGCACATTTACATAGCAATTGCGCCTGTGTGAGTGTATGTATGCCTATGCGCATCTATTCGTGTCTGTGTAAGCATTTTCGCAGTCAACCAAACAGCAACATCAACAACAGCCCCGGGCAGCGCTTGAGCAGCGCTGCAGCAGCAAATATATTTATGGCTATAACTTCTTGTTAAATCGGTCTATCATAATGAAATTTGGCATACGGACACATAATAACCAACTGGGGGTATTTCCAAAATTTTAGTTCGAAATTCCAAGAATTACGGGAGTTACGATTTGCGGGGTAGAGGGGGGAGGGAGGGGAATTCCAAAATATACATTTTCTGCGTATTCACATAAGGCATCTGGGACTAAAATTTGGTGTTCCTAGGTCTTATAGTCTCCGAGATATAAGCGATTATACGAATGGAAAATCGGGAAAACCCCCATAGAGGGGAAGTGGGGGGGAAAATCAAAAAAATAAAACAAACTCGTATAGAATATACACATAACGCATCTTTGTGCAAAATTTGGTGTCTCTATCTCTTATAGTCTCTGAGATCCAGGTGTTCATACGGACGGACAGACAGGGCTAGATCGACTCGTCTCGTCATGCTGATCAAGAATATATATACTTTGTGGGGTCTGCCACGCCTCCTTCTGCCTGTTACATACATTCGCACAAAACTAGTATACCCTTTGGGTACAGGGTATAAAAAGGGGGGGGGGGGTGGATACTTGATAGTAATTGATACAATTAATTCAGTAGGAGCTGGTTATAATATTAAAGCCATTGTGAAAATATAATAAAGTGCACCTCACGCTTTTTATAGCCTGTACCTAAAGGGTAAAAGGCTATACTAGTTTTGTGCGAATGTATGTAACAGGTAGAAAGATGCGTGGCAGACCCCACAAAGTATGTATATCAGAATGACAAGGCGAGTCGATATAGCCATGTCCGTCTGTATGAACGCAAGGATCTCAGGAAGTATAAGAGCTAGAATAACCAAACTTGGTATCGAGGTTCCCCTAAGTCCTAGGCAAGTCAAGTTAATTTTTTTAATCTGATAAGGTACTGATAAGGTTGCACCTTAGACCCGATAACACCAATTTAAGAGCAGAAAATGCCCATTCGACACTCACTTGCATTGAATATAATTCTGCCTGTTACATACATTCGCATTTGTGATTTTAAAATAATTAATTAATAAATTATTTATTTAGTTAATTAAAAATTAATTATTTAGTTAATTAAAAATTAATTAATTAAAAATGTTCGCCTTGACTCACTGATTAAGGATATATATAAATTTTGTCCTTAATCCTTATGAAACAGACAAAATTTCAGCTTGAGTTTTATATTTGATCAAAAAAATTAAACTCAAAGAATAATCATTATTTTATAAGTTTTATTTTTTTGCTCATCAATAATGATTATTGGTTAATTTTTAAAGTAAAACTCAAAATTAATCATTAAATTGCACCCGGTCCGGATGGTATACCTAGCTGCGTTCTGAAATTCTGTGCTGATGCCCTTAGCAAACCACTTTATAAACTATTTTCCTTATCACTTGACAGATGCCGATTCCCCGATATCTGGAGAAGTTCTTACATCTTCCCTCTCTATAAAAAAGGACCTAAATGTGACATTGAAAATTACAGAGGGATTTCTAAACTCTCTGCTATCCCCAAACTTCTTAAAAAACTGATGACCTCTCAGTTACAGCACCATTGCAGGTCCATAATTTCCCCTTTTCAACATGGATTTATGAAACGCCGCTCTACCGCAACAAATCTCCTTGAATTCTCATCGTTCGTTATGAATGTGGTTTTTGCTAACTTTGCCTCTGATATAACGATGTTCAGTTTCATGATAATTTGCAGCTTGATCTTAATGCCTTCCAATTGTGGTGTTCGCGGAATCTGTTGAACTTAAATTTTGTTAAATGCAAGCTAATGACGTTCCACCGATGCAAGCGTCATTTCATTTCATATTATTTAAATAACTCTCCTGTAGAACGAATTTTCACTGTTAACGACCTAGGTGTACTGTTTGATGCTAAACTTTGTTTTAATGATCACATCTCCACCAGTGTTAATAAAGCAAAGGGAACTCTAGGCTTTATTAAACGTTGGGCAAAGGAATTTGAAAACCCCTACACAACACTAATTTTGTATACGGCTTTGGTGCGGCCTACCTTAGAATATTGTTGTAACGTCTTGTGCCCGCAAAATGAAATACATAAAAATCGCATTGAATCGGTTCAAAAGCAATTTATTTTGTTTGCCTTACGTGTCTTGGATGAGTAGAACTGACCCTCTACCATCATATTTTCACAGGCTACAATTGTTAGGTTTCCATCACTTGCTAACCGCCGGATTTTATTAGGTGTTGTTTTTATACATAAATTAATTACCGGCGACATCGAGTCTTCGGTGCTTGTTAGCCAAATTAACTTTGCGGTACCACAAAGACCTTCAAGATTTTTTCCCATAAGCCTAAATCGCTGTACCAGCAACTATGCTTTGCACAGTCCGTTTCGGGTTCTGTGTAGCAACTACAATAATTTGAGTCATCTCTTTGGCCATGAGAGTTCGGTTAGTTCGATTAAATCTTGCTACCTTAATTTCCTGATCCGGTCTGAATCTCTTTAAATCGTTTGTAATTCTATTTAATTTAAATTTTTATTTTTTATGTTTTTTTCAATATTTGAATGTATATCTAGTTTGTTATTTCTTTTATTTATGTTTAACATTTACAGTTATTTGTCAAATTAAATAAATAAATAAATTGTGAGCGAATGAATACAAATTAAATTTTATAAATCATGGTGAAAATACATAGATAATCCTTAAAAACGATGTCTTCGCTTTCCAAAAGTTACTATATGTGAATGATTTTTTCGTTTAAAAAAAAACAAAATAATCATTATTTGCGGTCCCTGGTCGAAATTGTACATAAACACTTATGTCGGTATGCATGTGTTAAATATTTTATATTTAATTAAATTAATTAATTAATTTTTTTTTTTTGACTCAAGCAACCTTGACAGTAAAATAGCCTGTACTCTCCACAAAAAAGGAAAATTAAAAAAAATTAAATTATTAAAAAAAATGGAATTAATTATTTAACTTAATAATGAAAATTTATTTTATATATACATACAAGGTGCGTTCCAAAGTAAACAGGACTTTTGAATCTAGCGCCTCCTGGTGGCGCTATCTATATGTCCACTGCGTTAGAATCTGCTATCTTTATCGATTGTCCAGTGAGAATTTCATGACATTTTTATTCCGTTTTAAGTGTCAGTATGTTTGTGTTATCGGTGCGAAAATGAGCTTCGAACTAAGAGCCAACATTAAATTTAGTTTTAAAATTGGTAAAAGTTTTACTGAAACGTTTCAATTGATGGAACAAGTTTATGGCGATGATTGCTTACCCCGTAGCAGAGTGCACGAGTGGTTTCAACGTTTTCAAAGTGGTCGTGAGGACATAAATGACGATCAACATGTGGGCCAATCAAAATTCGTGATCACCGAAAATTCCATCTGTGCGTGAATTCATCAAAAATCAGCCGAAATCATCATTGAAATTGATGGAAATGGAATTGAACATCTCCAAAACATCGATTTATTGCATTTTGACTGAACATTTGGGCTTACGAAAGGCACGGTTTGTTCCGCACAAATTGACTGACGACCAAAAATTGCATTGATCGACGCTTGTGACCGATTATTTGACCAAAAATCACATTTTAACCATTAAGCACTCGCCGTATTCACCTGATATGGCACCGTGCGACTTCTACCTTTTCGGAAAAATGCATTTGCCCATGAAAGGGAAGCGTTATGCAGACGTAGAGGCCATTCAAAAGGCTTGCACCGGCATACTGGCGGCCATACCGGCCAACGAGCTAAAACACTCGTTCGACATGCTTTTGGATCGTGCAAAAAGCTATATTGAAGCAGCAGGAGACTATTTTGAATAAAATAAAATAAATTGATTTTGCCGAAGAAACCATTTGTTCTGCTTTTTTTTTAAAAGTCCTGTTTACTTTGGAACACCCCTTGTAGAAGAAATGTTTATGTACAGTTTTAAAAGCATACATTTATATCGTCGTGTCTATGCGTGTATGTATGCAGCACAAAGTTGAACCAAAGCAGCAACAACAACTACAGCTGCGGGCAGAGCTCCAGGCAGCGCATGGGCATTTTATTTATGGCTATAGCTTTCTTCAGAATTGGCCTATCATGATGAAACTCTGCACACGGACACATAAGCACTAACTGGATGTAACTACCAAAATTGATTTAAAAATTCTAAGAATTACGGGAGCTATAAAAAAAACAAATTCGGTGGAGTGGGGGGGTGTACCAGAATAAAAAAATAAACGTCCTGCCTAGGGCTCAAGGGAACCTGGATACCAAGTTTGGTCATTCTAGCTCTTGTGTCTTCTGAGATCCTTGCGCTCATGCAGACGTACAGACGGACATGGCTATATCGACTCTGCTTGTCACCCTGATCAATAATATATATACTTTGTGGGGTCGCCACGCCTCTTTCTGTGTGTTACATACATGCGCACAAAACTAGTATAGCCTTTAGGTACAGGCTATAAAAATTATTTTCTAGCGTGTTTTGTTAGTTTTTTAAACTATAATTTATGTTCTGGTGAATGTGTATGTATGTGAAAGAAACATATTAGTTATACTAGGAAAATATTGTGTGTAGTATGTATACACATTACATATGTATGTACTGTAACGACGCACGGCTGCCAGCTACGCAACGCGTCGTCACGATGCCGAGTGATGAGTAGTTTTAAGTAGGTGTAAGTCGGAGAGAAGTTTTTAGTTCTGTTTGAGAGGTAGACAAACGCGCACTGAAGTGCACCCTCCTGTTTTTGAATTAAGAAATTAAAAACCACGTGGAAAGTATTCACTTGGCGTACCGCCCTCCTTTTATTGGCGGACACCTTGGCACTTTGAGGTGCCTAATTTATTTCAGCATAAACTCTGGCCGGCGAGTATACCCGCGGCAGAGTAACAACCTTACAAGTGGCGCCCGAGCAGGGACCCCAAAGAAGATTGAGGTTATATCCGACCAAGTAGAGAGAGAAGCGCGTGGATTTACGAAGCTACGAAGCAGCTGGATACGTGCGCTGCGGAAGAGACCGGCAACGTGGAGGCGTTGCGGTCGCGGCTATCCACATTCGTGAAGTCGGCCAAGGAAGAGTACCGACCCCGCCTGGAAGAGCTGGCGGCGTATCATGAAAACACGTCATCGCGTACCGCAGCAACAGGCCAGTTGAGCCCTGGGAGTCCTGAAACAAGAGGACGTACGGGAAGGTCTACTCGTCGCGATAGAGGCAAATACGACACCAACCGTGGTCTCGGTGCGAGCCGACTCCAGCTCGGGCGACATCGCCAACTCCAGCATCGGTGCCGACCATATCGGTAGCGGTCGGGGCCTCGCATGCAGCGTCCGCAGCCAAGCCCACGGCAACCGCAGCGGCACCCCCAGCGACTCCAGGGCCCTCCACGGCAGACCTGTCCCAGACCATTGCCGATTCGTTGGCATCGTTGGCGCGGTACACCCACCGATTGGCCCAGACCATGGAGGATGGTCTCCAGTCCACCCACCGGTTGGCCCAGACCGTGGAGGAAGGTTTCCAGAAACTGTCGAGCCAGACCTGCGCTCCCATCACGTCTGCTGCTCCTGCTGGAGGTGCACCTGACGATGATAACACAACAGCACCGACTCCAGCGCCACCACTCGCGAATGCGCTGGCGGTGGCAGAGAAGCATGCGCCAACACCAGCCGAATGAGACAGACGAGCCGCGTTGCAGACACAGGTAGCACAGTGGGGCGTCCGATTTGACGGCAACGGGGACCCAAGAACGTTCCTTCGGGACCTGGAAGATAAGGCAGATATGAGCAACGTGCGACTAGACGATTTGGTGACAGTATTGCCGGAAGTCCTGGTCGGCGAGGCAAAGGAGTGGGAGTGGTCAAGGCGCAATTTGGCACAACGGTGGGTCGAGTTCCGCCAAGATCTACTAAAAGAGTATCCAGCAGGCCCCCATATAGAAGAGCACCGGCGGGAAGCATATAACCGGGTCCAGGGTGCATCAGAGACACCTAAAGAGTATGTCCGAGCGATGCGACGGCTGATGCGCAGCGCGGTGATGACCGTACAACCGCCGCCTGGCGGGCGAAGAAGTGAGCTCGCTCGATGGATACGAACAGGCGGCAACTAGCATATGCGAAGCAGTATGGACACGGGCGCAGACGGCCGGTAATGGCGAACCAAACGCCACGCGTCCCGTGCCAATACCACAGCCGGTGGCTGTTGGCCCAGCGGACACGCATCGACGAGGACCCATCTGTAGACGTTGCGGGATGGGAGGACACAATATGGACGCGTGCCCGAACACTCAACAGCTCTACTGTTGGGACTGTGGTAAGATGGGTGTGCGTGCGAGCGAATGCTGCCGACGCGCGACGGGAAACGCCAGGGGGGCTCGCCCCACACCAACAGCCGGCGAGCCCACGCACGCAAATTCCAACTAACAACAACACGCAGGTTAGCGGCCGCGCTATCAGTAGACTGTGATGGTTTACTAGTAGAGGGGGTCGTGGACACCGGAGCGACACGCAGCTTCGTGAGTCCGAGGCTGGCGCAACGCTTTCGGGCGCCAAACGGAGAAAATGTACGGTCCGTGAGCGTGACTGTGTCCAT